TGTGTGGAATTGCTTTGCATTTATGATCACTCTGTCATCAGCTCAACTTGGTACCAGCACTCACTCTCGACACTGGGAACCAAGGACCAGGGAATGTCGAGATAGACCTAACAACAGTTTGAAAGTGGGAAGCAGATAGACTAGTGGAAATTTCCATAGCAGATCTAACAGCCAAATCCCAAGCCAGACTAGGTGTCTTACCCTGTTTTCTGCCACTATAGCAGAATACCTGAGATTCAATAATTTATAAATAATAGAAGTCTGTTTGGCTCACAGCCCTGGAGGCTGGGAAGCCCAAGAACCTGGCGCTGGCATCTGGCGAAGGCCTTGGAGCTGCATTATCCCGTGGCGGAAGGTGGAAGGTCAAGGGGGCATATGAAATAAAGAGAGAAAGGGGCCAAACTCCTGCAGTAACTAATCCAGTCCCACAATAATGGCATGAATCCACTCATGAAGGCAGAACTCTCATGGCTGCATCACCTCTTAAAGGCCCCACCTCTCAACACTGTTACAATAGCAATTAAATTTCAACATAGTTTTGGAGTGAACATTTAAATCATAGTACTGGATAGCAACTGGTTTTATAGCACAGATATCACTATACCAGGTATCTCTAGGATCAGGGTTAAAGAGGTACTGCTGGAAAAGGAAGACTAGGTGACAAATATGTAAGAAACAGAGTTCCTACACACTTTCATTCATTCCGTGACATAAGTCAACCATCCCTTGCACACCCCAACAAAAGTTTTATTCTCAGGAAAGGGTAAAACCATGGCTCTCTGCACTGACAGACAACAGGCACAGTTGGGAGCATGAGTACTCTACCCTTTCAGGAAATAAGAAAATAATTATCACAAAAGATCAAGAATGAGAATGGCCTCTGACTTTGTACCAGCAGTACGTTTAAATTCAGAAGGAAGGTGATTGCCAATAAATTCCTAGAATTCCATACCCTACTGTGATGGTCAATTTTATGTGTCAACTTGATGGGGCCATGCAGCAGTATCTGGATATTTGGTCAAACATTATTCTGGATATGTCTGTGAGGGTGTTTCTGGATGAGATTAACATTTGTATCCATAGATTGTGTAAAGCAGATTGCCTTCCCTAATGTGGTGGGCTCCGTCCAATCAATTGAAGGTTTGAATATAATAAAAAGGATAAATAAGAGGGAACTCCTCCTGCCTTCAAGCTGGAACATTAGTTTTTTCTCTAGCCCTTGTACTGGAGCTACACCATCTGCTGTCCTAGGCGTCCACCATGCTGACTGCAAAACTTGAGACTTGGCCTCCAGAATTGTGTGAGCCAGTTCCTTATAATACAAACACACACACACACACACACACACACACACACACATTCCCATCCTATTAGTTCTGTTTCAGGTTCTGGAGAACCCTGAATAATATACCCACCAAATTATCAGTCATTTATGGGGATTGAATAAAAATATGTTCAGACACATAAGATCTCAAAAACATATAAATGATATACACTTTCTCAGGAAGCTATTTGAGAATGTGCTCCACCAAAATGAGAAATTAAACCAAGAAGTAGGAAGAATTCGATAAAAGAAACAGGAGCTCCAAACCATAAGAGAAGGGTAAGGAGTTCCTGGATTATGAAGGGAGAGCCCAACACAGCAGCCGTACGCCCCACAGGGAAGGCAGCCAGCCCAGAGGGAAGCCCTGTGACCCCGGAGATGGGAGTGTGAAGGGCTCTTATCTGTAGACCTTGCTGCCTACAGAGATTAACCTGAGGACAGAATGCCCCAGACAGCCGGGCACACGTTCTTCCGGTACTTGCTTTATCTTGACCAGGCACTGATAAAATTCCCTCTTCTCTCCCTGTACCTCGTTGCTTGGTTAGCTGAGGGCACTCATTCCACACAGTATGCTGCCTTGACATGTTTCCGAGAGTGGTAAGTGGGTCATAGTAAAAGCTTAGAAGCAGAAAGCATAAAACAATTCCCTCTCTCTGTGATATTTCTGCCAGATGTCTTATACCTGGCCACATTACAGCCCTGCCTGACTTACACAGAAGGGGCTATTAAAAACCATGAGTTTATATTCTTGGGTGAGTCTTCCCCTAAATCATGGCATTTTTTTCATTTCCTTAAAAAGTTAGTTTTGCGGCCAGGCGCGGTGGCTCACGCCTGTAATCCTAGCACTCTGGGAGGCCGAGGCGGGCGGATTGCTCGAGGTCAGGAGTTCGAAACCAGCCTGAGCAAGAGCAATACCCCGTCTCCACTATAAATAGAAAGAAATTAATTGGCCAACTAATATATATAGAAAAAATTAGCCAGGCATGGTGGTGCATGCCTGTAGTCCCAGCTACTCAGAAGGCTGAGGCAGAAGGATTGCTTGAGCCCAGGAGTTTGAGGTTTCTGTGAGCTAGGCTGACGCCACGGCACTCACTCTAGCCTGGGCAACAAAGTGAGACTCTGTCTCAAAACAAAAAAAAATAAAAAGTTAGTTTTGCAATTTGTTATTTCATTTTTCAAATTACATTTTCGAATGTAATAACATTTCAAAATGTTATTTTCAAATAACATTTGGATAATCTTCACCTGGATAATCTTCTAATCGTAAGGCCAACTGACTTAAAACCTTAATTATATTGACAACGTCCCTTCACAACAGTACCTTTGTTAGTGTTTGACTGGTCACTGCAGGGTGGGAATAGTGGGGTGATGTGGGATCGTTAAGATTCTGCCTACCATAAAATGATTCCCACAAAAGTCAAAATAGTGTTCACCTCTAAAGAGAGCAAAGGGAATATAATTAAGGAGGGACATAAGAGAGGTTGCTAAGGTACTGGAATTGTTAATCTGCATCAGAAATACATAGCATGTAATGCTTTTCACACTCTTTTGTATTGATAATGCATCAAAAAGGAAAAAATTCAATGCAAGGCATAATGCCTTAAAACTATGAATGTGGAATATATTTGATTCCAAGATTTTTTGAAGCCAATACAAAAAGCTTCTTGTGAAAGAGGTGGGAGTCTTTTATTTGTCCCTGACACTGAGGAGGCTCGTCTAATACACCAAGGATATTTGTGGAGTGAGAGCTCAACAGAGGTGTCAGCCACCATCCCTAGTATTAGAATTAAAGGAGAAGAAGAAAACTAGAATGTGATGAAGAAACTATAGCACATCAGAAAACAGTGGCCCAAGTTGAAGGTGCCTCTGGCTGCTGCCTGGGCAGTCACAGCTCTCAGTTTGGATCTTAGAAGTGGAAGTTACCAGATCCCAGTGGTAAACCAGCCAAGCTCTCACAAATGCACAGGTACAAGATACCTGTGCACACACACAGGAAAAGACTCATGCATGCACAACAGGACACTGCTTCTGTGATCAACTGGCCTTCTCCAGTCCAAAGCTGCTATGCCTGTTGAATTCTCTGGTAGGAGCCATGACTAGGTTCATTTATGACCCTTCCAAAGCCCTCTAAAGGCCTGACCCAGGGTAAGAGCTTAGAATCTATTTGATGAGATACAGACAAGAGTTGATTTCTAGGTCTTTGGCTTCTATCCAGCCCTGAGATCCTGAATTTGGAGATGGCCAAGGGTAAGTTACAAGGATTTGTCTTGTGCAGTAGGTTTCACATTCTCCCAGATCTATCATGGGCCCTGGTGAGAGTTCTCATTACCTGGAGGTTTATGTTAATTTGGGCAAGGCCAGGATGATCCTTCCTTTCTAATGCTTTCCAACATCTCAACAGAATGGGTAGAAAGAGAGGGAATGAGAAAGAAAGTATTTCTGGGGGTGGGGGGACTTCAGAATAATTGGATCATGGAGACATAATCCCAGATGTATAAAAAGTTAACTTTGTCACTTGGATTTCTAAACTTTAAATTACTTTAGGGACTAGAATAATTCCCATAGCAGGGTGAGATTTAAATGGCTTTGTATGTGCAATGAATGGTCCTTTGTGGATCTCACCCAAACACAGAACAAAGACAAGAGAACTTGAACTCATTTCAGGTGCTAATTCCTTTGGCTGCTACTTTTCAACTGGATTGGCTATTTTTGGCTTCTGGACTCTTCCTAGACCTCAGAGAAGTGATCCGAATCAAAAAATTGACAAAAAAAAAAAAAAGAAAGAAAGAAAGAAAGAAAGAAAGAAAGAAAGAAAGAAAGAAAGAAAGAAAGAAAGAAAAAGAAAGAAAGAAAAGAAAAGAAAAGGTAAGAGAGCACTTTTGAAAGATTATATAAACTTGGTGGGCCGAGCCCCACCCCTGGCTGCATCGCTGGTGACTAAGTGGCATAGGGGGGATTTTGAAGGAAAGAGAAAGGGATACCTCAGTGGTGCAACAGTCTTAAAAACAAGAACTTCATGAGATCATTCAGTACCTGGGATGGAATATCTCTGATAATCATCTAATCCAAAGTAAGCATTTGGGAAACTGAGGCCCAGAGAGGAAAAAGGACTTAATGATTCCTAAGAATTGAGTGATTGGTGAATTCTCCAGAAGAGTTTGGCAAGTGAGTGAGGGAATGGAAGAATGAATGAATGCCGGGGTTACTGTAGAATGTGAGAGAGAACAGAGAAGAGGAGGAAGACAGTGTTCCCAACAGGGGATGTCAGGAGTGGAGGGTGAAGAGCCCCAGTTTTCTCCCTCATTCCTGATCCCCAAGAGGAAAAAACACATAAATGGAGCAAAATATTTCTTTCCAAAATTGAATGAAATGAATCATCCACACATGATACAACTTGAAGTAAATGTGTGATCCTATTTTGAATGTGACTTGGAAAATTAAATCTAATCAGTTGACATTTCAAACTTCTCTATAGGGTGGCCAAATAACACCAAGTAGATTTTGATAAAATTCCCAGCATTTTATTTAGAACAAAATAGAGAATGCCTCAGATTATCAGAGCTGTTCTCCAATTGCTCAGAAAGGTGGAGCTTGCTTCCTGGCTTTCTGGGCACTTTAGGCACCAGAGAATCATGGAGTTGGTCTTCTGAGCCCTGCAAGTGACATAGGAAACGCCATGGTCAGGTCCAACCAGACCTCCCCTGTGATGGGGTTCATTCTCCTGGGACTCTCTGCCCACCCAAAGCTGGAGAAAACGTTCTTTGCGCTCATTCTGTCAATGTACCTGGTGGTCCTGCTGGGCAACGGGGTCCTCATCCTGGTGACCATCCTTGACTCCCACCTGCACACGCCCATGTATTTCTTCCTGGGGAACCTCTCCTTCCTGGACATCTGCTACACAACCTCCTCAGTCCCCCTTATCCTTGACAGCTTCCTGACCCCCAGGAAAACCATCTCCTTCTCAGCCTGTGCTGTGCAAATGTTCCTCTCCTTTGCCATGGGGGCCACAGAGTGTGTGCTCCTGAGCATGATGGCATTTGATCGCTATGTGGCCATCTGCAACCCCCTTAGGTATCCAGAGGTCATGAGCAAGGCTGCCTATGTGCCCATGGCTGCTGGAACCTGGGTGGCTGGAAGCATCACTGCCATGGTGCAGACATCCCTAGCAATGCGACTGCCATTCTGTGGGGACAATGTCATCAACCACTTCACCTGTGAGATCCTGGCTGTCCTTAAATTGGCCTGTGCTGACATCTCTGTCAATGTGATCAGCATGGCAGTGGCAAATGTGATCTTTCTAGGGGTCCCAGTCCTGTTCATTTCTTTCTCCTATGTGTTCATCATTGCCACCATCCTGAGGATCCCCTCGGCTGAGGGGAGGAAAAAGGCCTTCTCCACCTGCTCTGCCCACCTCACAGTCGTGGTTGTCTTCTACGGGACCATCCTCTTCATGTATGGAAAGCCCAAGTCTAAGGACTCGCTGGGGGCAGACAAGCAGGACCTTGCAGACAAGCTCATCTCCCTCTTCTATGGGGTGGTGACCCCTATGCTGAACCCCATCATCTACAGCCTGAGGAACAAGGACGTGAAGGCCGCTGTGAGGCACCTGGTATTTCAGAGACGCTTCACCCAGTGATGGTGGAGTGGTCCTGATCATTCTGTGCTCCCTGACTGCTCCCACCTGAGGGTCCCAAATAATAAAATGAAGGGCCAGTTCCCTCCAGGGTGACAAAGGTAAACCCCATTCCACTGAATCTCACTATGTAGAAGGACTCTGTGTGAACAAGAAGCACTTAATGCAGCTCCACAAAAGTATATTCTTGTTTGTCTAGCCTTGTGGTTCTCATTCTTTGTGGTGGAAACTGAACAAATTGATGTCAAGAAAAAGTAATTCTTCAAATTTTTATTGGTGAACTAATGAAAAGCTCTGGTCTGTAGGTCTTCAATTCAATTGCTCCTTTGCTGCTGTCTTGAACATATTTGAATGGGTCTTTACTTTTATGTTACCTTTCAAATACTTTCTACTCCATATTAAATAAGAGTAACATTTTAATTTTTCTCCTCATTGCTTCTTTCTCCTTGTTGTCATATTAATTCTTAATTTTTCTGAATTTTTCTCTCTTCACATCTCCATAATTTACCTGTAGATTTGTCTCTCTCTTGTCCTTACTCAGGGTCCTCTCCAGAAAAACACTCATGCTCTTGAAGAAGAGAGGGGAGTGAGGAAAGAGTGGCAAAACTGACACAAGGGCCAAAGGTTCAGGCCTTCCCCCCACTTTTTGAAGATGTTGTCTATCCCTGGGCTCCGTCTCTACATACCAGTAGCCTCCCATGGCCATCAGAGTAATGTGAAACCAGGACATGTCGAGGAGGAGCAAATGAATTCTATTAACCACCTGACCTGGCCTGACCAAGCATGCAGCCAAGTGGTAGCCACCACTTGTTTTTCCACCTAAGAACCCCTAAAGCCACATAGTAGTCAGGGGGAGGTGGAAGTGACACCCACCAAAGAATATCTATGAAGCACCCACATAATTGGTGAGGAATTCCATGGCAGCTCCAAACAGTGATTCACCCAGAAATCCAGTTAAGAAAATGAGCAGAACTTTTAATCCTAGAGAAACAAACAATTAAAATAAACAGCTTCTGCTGAAAAACAGTTAATGCAGGAAGATGGTGAAAATGTTAGATAATTCTCAGTAGTTTTCTCAGTGGAATTCAAGAAGCTTTTGAATCAATAAAATAAGAGCTGTCTATATTTTTTTTAAAAGAGGCTAGGAGAAAAGATATCTGAGAGATAAGAACATTTTCTTGGGGAAATTTCCATACTATTGATCAAATAAAATTTAATACAAAGTATTTAAAAATAATACTTTAAAAGGAATTTTAAAATTAAACATAACTTGAATGGCTCTCCTAGCCTTCAGCAAAAAACAAAAACAAACCCAAAAAACAACAAAACAACAACAACAACAAAAACACAAAGAGATTGAAATTATTTCAGAAAAGATGAAAGGCATAGAAGACAGACCAGGGGAATGCATTATGAAATTCATAAGGAGAAAGCAGAGCAGATAAAAGGCAAATGATAACTAAAAAGAGAAAAGAAACACTTCACTGAATAGAAGTTTTAGATTTTTTGTCCATAAGGGTTCATCACCAGGTAAGAGTTGTGGCAAAAGACATAACTTATACAGATCCAAGTGTAAGTTTCGAATTTCATATGTAGCAGGATATTTCTACAGACTTTTCCATAAAAGAAAACAGATCACCTAACAAGGAATGATGATCTGAGTGCCCTTGGCCTTATATTCGGCACAGCAGCCATATATGTAGAAGTCACTGGAACAATGTTTACAGAGTTCTGAGGTAAATTGGTTATAAGTCTGAAATTCTACACACAGCTGACCATTGCACAGGGATGAGGGTTAAAAAGACATTTGCTTTCATGTGAAAACAAAGAAAGCACACACCTCTATAATTCCTTTCTGAAAAAGAAATTTGATTTAGGAAATTCTCCCAAAAGAATAATTAAAAATAAATAATCAAAAGAATGAGATAGACATGATGTATAAGATATAGCAGAGAACAATGAACTGCATTAAGACCCATAAAGTCTAATTAACTCTTGATGCTGAATTTGTAAAGATTCTATTACCCATGGAAAATAGAAAAAATAATCAAAAACATGACCTCAGACTTTCAAAGTATGGGTAATTTTTTTTTTTTTTTTTTTTTTTGAGACAGAGTCTCACTTTGTTGCCCAGGCTAGAGTGAGTGCCGTGGCGTCAGCCTAGCTCACAGCAACCTCAATCTCCTGGGCTCAGCAATCCTTCTGCCTCAGCCTCCCAAGTAGCTGGGACTACAGGCATGCGCCACCATGCCCGGCTAATTTTTTGTATATATATTTTTAGTTGGCCAATTAATTTCTTTCTATTTTTGAGACAGGGTCTTGCTCAGGCTGGTTTCGAACTCCTGACCTTGAGCAATCCGCCCGCCTCGGCCTCCCAAAGTGCTAGGATTACAGGCGTGAGCCACCGTGCCTGGCAATTTATTTATTATCTATGGTTTTCAGAGAATATGAAAATATGGAGACCTTACCAAATCATTTTCTCTTTAATAGCTCCTTGAGGGCAGTAATTTTATGTTTTGCTTATTTTTCTACCCTCCATAGCAATTATAGGCTAGGTACACACTAAAGACTCAATGAAAATTTGTTGAGTATTGAGTGAATATTCTGACACCAAAACCTAACAAGGACTATGCAAAAAAGAAAATTATTGGTATAAATAGAAAAAATATTATTGAATATTAGCTGATGAAAGCCAATGTGTAGTAAACAAACAATACACATTACCAAGTAGCATTTCCTCAGGAATAACAACATGGTGCAACATTATAAGAAGTCTTATTTTTAATGTTTTTATACAGTGGAATTTAAAACCTATACAAAAATAGAAAGGAAAGATAATGAATCTTAGGTTTCCTTTACCCAGATTCAATAATCACCTCATGGCATATATTGTTCAGCCATACACCTACCCATTTCTCCCACTTCAGAATTATTTTGAAGCAAGTCCTAGGCCATCGTAGTATTTCATTCTTAAATAGTTTAGTGTATATCTATAATAAATGATACTCTTTTGTTGAAACATAATTAAATTACCAATATCGCCATTTAAAAACATTTATATAGAAATGTAAAGGAACCTGTATAGCTAAAATAATTTTGTAAAAGAAAAATAAGGTGGAAGGAATCACTCTGCCTGTCTTCAAGATTTCTTACATAGCTGCAATAATCTAGTGAAGGGTATACAAGACCATGTAGTATTGGTAGAGGGACAGACACATAGGGCCATAAAACTAGCCACCTAATGCCCACCACAAGTGACCCCCATCCCCTCCAGTGGCAGAGCTGACACACACTGTACCCCTCCACCCAAGGAAATCAGGACCAGTTTGCCTGGCACCCACCACTGCCAGCAACTGTACCTCCTCCAGCTGGAGAACTGCCTACCATTGTATATGCTGCCTGGGGACTAAGAACCAGCCCACCCAGCACCTGCAGCTTCCAGCAACCTCATCCACCTGCAGAGCTGCTGTGCACCACACATGTCCCCCAGGAACTAAGTACAACCAGACTGATGACTGCTGACCATGCCCTTTCTACAAGTAGTGCAGATGCTGTGCCCAGCAGATGCCCCCCAGAACCTGAGAACTGGCCTGTCTGGCAGCCCCTGGCTCCAGCAAAGCCACACCACTGCCACCACAGACACTTGCAGTCTAGTCCATGAAGGGCTTTCAGATATCCCTGGTATTGATTACAGCCAAATAAATCACATGGAGACTACACTACTGTGTTCACCCAGAACCAAATCCAAATCACCCTAGCCAAGTGATACTATAGGACACATCTATAGGAAAAATAGTTTCCTATGGAAGTTACTCCATAAACTTGGAGGAAAATGACTGTTTCACCAGATGCACAGATATCAATATTGGGGCAAGGGAAACACGAAAAAATAAGGAAACATGATACTTCCAAAAGAATGCAATAATTCTCCAGTAACAGAACTCAAGGAAAACAAAGTCCCTGAAAAGGAATTCAAAATAATGATTCTAAGAAACCTCAGTGAGATATAAGAGAATATAGATAGATAATTCAAGAAAATTAGGAATTCATGATCACAATGAGAAATTCAACAAAAAGATAGAGATCATACAAAAGAACCAAACAGAAATCTTGGAGCTGAAGAATTTAATGAACAAAATAAAAATATAATCAAGAGCTTCAACAACAGAAAAATATTTCTGAATTTGAAGACAGGTGTTTTAAAATAATGCAGTCAGACCAAAAGAAAAAAGAATTTAAAAGAATGATGAAAACCTACAAGACTTATGGGACAGCATTAAATGAATAAATATTCACATTATAGGAATTCCAGAAGGAGAAGAGATAGGAAAATCATAGAAAACTTAATAATAGATGAAAACTTCCCAAGTCTTGGGAGCGATAAAGACAGCCAAATCCAAGAAGTTAATTAACAATTAGAAAACAAATTCAATGTATTTTTAAAATTGAGGTGAAATATGCATATGTAATTTACCATCTTTACCATTTTTAAGTATGTGGCTCAGTGGTAATACATACATTTATATTCTTTTTTTACCCTTCATTCCCACCTGCCCCCAACCCTTCCTGGCCTCTTATAACCACTTTTCTACTATCTATCTCCTGAGATCCACTTTTTAGCCACAGCCATTTAATTCAGCCATAAAAAAGAGTGGGATCCTGTCATTTGCAGCAACATGGATGGAACAGGAGGCCATTATGTTAAGTTAAATAAACCAAGGACAGAAAGGCAAATATTCATGTTCTCAACTTATATGTGGATTTCAGTGTGTTTTCATAATAAATAGTTTTAGCCAATCAAGAGCAAAAGGGAACATTCTTCACAGAACATAAGTTTTTTATAAAAAGCCACAGCAAATATACTAAATAGTGAAAATAGCGAAATCATTTTCTCTGAGATGGGAACAAGGTAAGGATGTTTGCTACTGCCACTTTTCATTTAGCATTGAATTGGAGGAACCCACTGCTATAGCAAGGCAAGAAAAAAAGCCTCCAGGGATGTG